ACACCATGGAATATCCCACTTGTCACTTGTATATAATAGTTATACAATGCTTTCTCGTGACACACCATGGAATATCCCACTTGTCACTTGTATACAATAGTTATACAATGCTTTCTCATGACACACCATGGAATATCCCACTTTTTATTTCTATTTCAGTTCTCGTATACTCACTCTCGAGAAGGCTTAGTATACTTGAGGAATATAAAACGTGCRCGCATATCTTTGAACTGACTGTGATATAAGCACGCTTGGAGCTGTAGAGCACGAAAGAAGCAAGCTTAGGAACACGAGGCGTAGCCAAGTGCTTYTCTTGCTTTTCGAGTGCTCTACAGCTCACAGAGTGTTTATATCACAGTACAGAGGCACAAGCATCCGTTTTTACATTGCTTTTATAAAATATTTTTGAACCTGATTTTGCGCAAGCGTGTCACTGGCCTCTGATATAACCACGGTAGCCAGCCAATCAGTGCGCTCGTTATGTCTCAAATATTTTATAAGATAAAATACAAGTGCATCGTGGGACATTCCATGGTATGCCACTCAAAAACCATTCTCAACATATCTTGGCCATATATATATATATATATATATATATATATGTATAATACGCCTATTTCAAATAATCTTGTCTGCCGGAGATCTCACGAAATGGGCGGACTGAGACTAAATGTAATATTAGCGGTTTTATGTTTTCTAGCTAATGCTAAATTCGTGGTGGGGAGGTGGAAAGATATTTTTAATGGTCTAATCTCAAAGGATTAGCTATTTTATGTTTAAATATTAAACTGTATTATGATTGATATTCCTCATAAAAATCCCTTATTTCAGTTTGAAACATTTCTAAGACAAACCAAATAGAAAACTCGCTTTAAAGTAAAAGAATATTCTTAACAAAAGTTGGGGAAAAATCAATCGTATTTTTCTATATTTTTATGTTTTTTACTCGTGTTTTTTGGCGTTTCAGAGAAAAATTTTCGTACTAAATGACATTATCTAACTGTCTTAGATGCAAATATTGACAATAATGATTATTAGCATATAAAGCTACATCGAAAATTCATTAAATATTCACGTCTAAGCGACTTTGTTCCATGAATCGTCTGCCAGTTTTTACGAAGTAAATGATATATTCTTATTTAGTAAAACAAAGGAATCTTGAGACAAAGATGTGAGAATTGGATTTYATATCCTTGTTATTGGAGGAAACAAAGCGACAACAACATAAAAAAGCGTTTTTACAACGACTTTGCGATTCATTCAAGACGGCTGAAGACAATTTTGATCTCGCTGGTAAAATCGTTTATCATTTTATTATTAGTACAAATCATTTACTCATTTTGATATTTAATAGATATATTGGTTTTCATTTAGTATTTTCGTATCTTCATCTTCTGCATTTTTATTCTATTCTTTTTTCAATTCTTATCTCGAAAATCAATAATATTCAAAAAAAAAAAAACATATTTGAGAATCATAATTGATCATTCTTTATATTTCTCTTTTTTCTTTAATAGTTTCTYATTTTCATTCCATATTTCATATTATGGTTTTTTTTCCTAGGGTTAAGTATTACATTGTATATTACGAATACTTTTGATAACTACGCAAAATGACTTACATTATAAAAATAACGTTAACAATTTTTTTTTTTTTTTTTTTTGTAATATTTTTTACATCAAAATATATTTTTTCAAGGAATTTTATTTCAGTATTTTTATATTAACAATTTGTTTTTCAGATAATTTGTTTGTAGGTGCTTATATTTGCAGCAATATTTCAAATATATAACAATATAATTTTAGCATATGGTAAACATGGTAAATGCAGTCGTTTTTCAAGAGTTAAATGGCCTTTTTAATCACTTAATACTCCAATCATGTGAAAGACGATTCCTCTTACTAATTCCACATTTATTCTAAGAATTTTAGAAAAAAATGCACAGCAAATACTTATTTTCTGAATATTGAATATTGAATACGTATAAATAGTATGTGATTGGATGGCAGTCGGTTAATTTTTGTTTAAATTATTTTTTGGGAGAAAAATGCTTTAAGGTTGTTTATATATACCGTAAATCATTGTCGAGTCAAAACACGGAACATAGAGGCTGAGACCGTAAAGTATTCTGGGAAATGACAGTTACTCCTCAGCACGTGTTTATATGAGATACACAGTCGATATAAAGCGTGTGTGAAAAGCCTCCATGCTTTCTCTCAGTGCAACCATTCATGAACATTTCACGGGTTGTATCATGAGATATTTAGCAATTATTCGCCGAAGGCGAAGTGAATATCGGGGAATATTTACCGAGACGCGAGTCTTCGAGCGGTGAGGTAAATATTCTCCATATTCACTGAGCCTGAGGTGAATGATTATTAACGTCTTTCTAAATCTTATTAACGTATTTCCCTTGTTCTATGTTCTTTGTGTGTGTGTGTTTTTTTCGTTTTTTTTTTTTTTTTTTAAACCTGAAAATGATTTTGCTATAATCCACCTCCGAGATATGCTTCGCTTGTTACGCCCAAAGGTTTCAGTATGAGGCTACGTGCTAAATTAAATTTATTCTTACCGCTTGTCACGAATGACTGAGCATTTAGCACGTTGCCTCATACTGAAACCTTTGTGCGTGACAAGCATATCTCGGAAGTGGGCTATTGAGTGTATATTGATTATATTGTTGTTATTTCATTACAGTGAATCTAGAGCCTTTGGACAAATCAAAAACAAGGTATTGAGTACAGTACATGCCTCTTGACGGCGCGTAATGTGTTCCAAATCACGCGTCAACCCCTTATTTTTATTGGGAATCAAGGGTGGTATAGCAGTAGTGCCTTAGCCTTCCAACACTGGGTCGACATCGGTTAAGTAGAGTTTGTTAGGGGGTTTTCTCCGATCTGTGAGTTAGCAATGCCCCGACTTAGATCAGCCCAGAGGTTGTTTCAAGGTTCGATCTGTGAGTTAGCCGTGCCCTGACTTAGATCAGCCCAGAGGTTGTTTCAGGGTTCAATCTGTGAGTTAGCCATGCCCTGACTTAGATCAGCCCANTCAGCCCAGAGGTTGTTTCAGGGTTCTATCTGTGAGTTAGCCATATCCTGACTTAGATCAGCCCAGAGGTTGTTTCAGAGTTCAATCTGTGAGTTAGCCATGCCCTGACTTAGATCAGCCCAGAGGTTGTTTCAGGATTCTATCTGTGAGTTAGCCATACCCTGACTTAGATCAGCCCAGAGGTTGTTTCAGGGTTTGGTCTGTGAGTTAGCCATGCCCTGACTTAGATCAGCCAAGAGGTTGTTTCAGGGTTTGATCTGTGAGTTAAACATGCTCTGACTTAGATCAGCCCAGAGGTTGTTTCAGGGTTTGATTTGTGAGTTGAAAAAAATTTTTTTTTGAAGTTAGCGTTTATTTCGCCCCCAAAACAGTCCCACAATTCACTGCAATGTCAACTCGACCAAGTTTTTCCCCTTACACTACGGATTGGCAAATAGCAATACAACATGACGTCATTACCGATTCACCTTTCCGRCACTAGCCGTCGCGTGGTATAAATTGTGTTGCATTGTGTTACGGTTACCAAGAAGTTCAGACGTTGTTCTCGGATTTCCGTACGAATGTACTGACTTTTAAATAAATTATTTACTGAGTTCGTTTAGTTAGTTCTCTAAATACAAGCAAAATATCATTTTTCTAACTTGCTTGAAGCTTTTCTTACTATTATGTTTAGTATTATTATTTCTTTTTAAAAAATTGAGTATGGAAATCCGAGAACAATGTCTGGACATTTTGGTGACAGTAACGTAATCCATTACCATTTATACCACGTGACGGCTAGCGCCGAAAAGGTGATTTCTTGCACACCAAGAATCTAGTTCAGACACAGGGAACCCGGCTAATTTTTGTTGTTGTTGTTGTTGTTGTTGCTTTTTTTAGAAAATTAACTTTGCTCTTTGTGGGTTTCCTGTGTTGTGATCAGGTTCTTTTACATAAGCTGTAATCAGATCGGCGCTGTAAACTGACAGCTCGTTGGTGTTTTGTTTCTTATGGGTTGCCTGTGGTGTGTAACGCACTTTCTAGTAAACAAAAAGAATCGCACAGACTGTGGTCGGTTTGTTATAACAACAAAATTGGTTTTTATTGATACCTCGTGTTTATTTAATTGTCTCTCCGTTATAAAGCTGTTAGTGGATATCCTGTGTTTTGCTTCTTGCGTTCGATTGATTTTTATAGTCATAAAAAAAATCAAATGCTTTCTTATCTTTTTACGTAATAAGAACTTTTAAGAGAGAACACTTTTCGTATTCAAGCGGTGCGCGCCAAAAACTATTTTCTTGAAGAAAGGCTGTTGTACAAGGCTAAAATCTTGTTATTCAGAAAGTTTAACTTGTTTGGAAGTGGAGATGACCGATGAAAGTGGAATCAAAGTGTTAACCCAAAGCAAAAATTTTATTCGAGAATGAGGTTTAGGCCTTCATTTGCTTATTTCCCATATATTTTCTATAAAAAAGCCTGACAAAGCAACATTCTGACACAAATGCAACAAAACATCTTTGTACAATTGAAAATACCGCTTCAAACAGTCATTTTATCATAGTACATCAGTTTCTAGCTGATAAAAAACCCAAAGCGAAAATTGGGATCAAAACTCATACGACAGTCTAGTTTGAGTAAAAATAATAAAATCGGTTCGTATAATCCTCGTAGCGGTTAAACAGAATRCAATGTTTGTCCGAATCTTTAAGCTATTTTTAGAATCAGTGCGCTGCGCTATTAGGCTAACTCTAAGTAAATGAGTATAATCAAGTAACGCAGCGGTATTTTTCGAAATTCAAAATGTCTTTTTTGTATTTTACGTTTTTAACAGCGCGAACCCCCATGTGTTAACATTCGATGTCTCACATGCTTTTTGTCAGGCGTCTCAAAAAAAATTTCTAGATTTATTAAGAATCCTTCAAAAATAGCGTTAAATATATATCCTCTGTTCGCATCGCACGCTTTAGTGCACGAGATTTGAAATGCACACATTTAATTTTGGGTATTTGCGCGCTCAAATATTAATTTATTATGTTATTGATATGATAGATTTAAGAAAACTAAATCAGCCATCAATATGCAATATTTATAATACAGGCTATTAGCGCAGCGCGCTGATTCTAAAAATAGCTTAAAGAATCGGACAAACATTGCATTCTGTTTAACCGCTACGAGGATTATACGAACCGATTTTATTATTTTTACTTAAAGTTACAATAATAACCCATGTAAACTAAGATCARCTGTAATCTGCTGTGAAARTTATCTGCTGAAAGTAAACTTGTAAGTTTGTTTGTCTGAATTTCGCCTTTGTCTTCGTTTTTATAACGTCACGGCTGCTCTGCGCTATTTCGATTTCTTTTCTGGTGAAGAACGTCAAAGACGAAGAGAATTCCACAAAGGTGAACGAAAACTGAAAAAGTCTTTTTATAATAACGCAAAAATAACATCATAAACCAATAAATAAATAATAGACTAATGGTTATCACCAACTGAACGCTAAAGATATCGCATTGCATAGTTTTATATCAAGATTTAACGTTGTGAAATCTTCATCATAATCCAAACTAATGTATATGAGAAACAAGCTGTTTTTCGCTGTCGTTATGAGATAAAATGTGAATAATAAGCTGAGCTGAGAAACAAGATTCGATTTTGATGAAGATAGCTCGCTCTCTGACGTCATAAGTGTTATTTTTCCATCGACGTCACGATTCAAATCGACCACTCGCTATAAAAATATGCTTCGTTCTATAAATATTTAATGCTGAGCGATCAAGAGGAAGCGAACGATGAATGAATTCGTAGATCTCTTTCGAGAAGACGGTACTTTTCTTTGAATTTGGTAGAATTATTTTGTAGAGGAATTCTGCAAAGCGAGAATACCTTCTTTCAATCATTCTGAAGTTTCTCGCTCGCCAATAAGGTAAAACAAAGTCATTCCACACATAATTTTACAACGATAACACGAATCTAAAGAATAACTTAGTAAGTCTACAAGTATTTCTATTCCACAAGCACCATAATATTACTGCTTCACAAATTTACAAAATTTGAAATCTAAGTTCTTCTTTAGCGTAGATATATACATATTTTTTTGTTCTGTAAAGACATATAGAGTTTTTAAGAGATTTTGATTAATTTAGAATAATGTGGTGTTCTCTACGGCTCAGTTGTCTCTGAAAGACATTGTAAATTATTCAAAATCAAGAAAATTGAATCTATTTTCTAAGCTCCAGTGAAGTTGCGAGAGAAAAAATTACCCAATAAATTTCAAACATTTCAGTGTTAAATCGGTTTTGGAGTTTGTGAAAATAGTTTCTCTTAGTTTAAATCTTGCTACAGTGTATTTGGGTTTTAAGGTGAGAGTGCTGAAGCGTTGTCTGTAGGTTTGACATTTGGTTATTGTAAAATGTGTAAATGCTGCAATAAACAATAAATATACAAAGGAAAACTGAGCTCGTTTCGTAGGCTACATTCGCTTTCAAATCTTTGGATTTTTAAAATATTAAGTGCAAGTGTTCGTACATAGTTTGTAATGATAATAACATAGTTTATGCCTCTACGAAAAAATATATATAATGAAAAATATTATATATAATTTTTAATAGAACCCGGAAACAACTTCTGAGCTGATCTAGGTCAGGGCATGGCTAACTCACAAATTGAACCCTGAAACAACCTCTGGGCTGATCTAGTCAGGTCACGGCTAACTCACAGATTGAACCCTGAAACAACCTCTGGGCTGATCTAGTCAGGTCACGACTGACTCACAGATTGAACAGTGAAACAAACTCTGGGTTGATCTAAGTCAGGGCATGGCTATCTCACAGATCAAACCCTGAAACACCCTCTGGGCTGATCTTGTCAGGTCACGACTGACTCACAGATTGAACCCTGAAGCAAACTCTGGGCTGATCTAAGTCAGGGCATGGCTATCTCACAGATCGAACTCTGACACAACTTTTGAAAATCCGGTGGAAAAAATTCCAGAAAGAAGAGACCTCAGAGATGTGAGGGTTTAAAAATCTCTCAACTGACATGTTCTTTCCTTCTACTTCTAGCAAACCCACCCCTCCCAGTGAAGAAGCAAAGCGTAGTCCAGACATGAGGCACTTCAGGTCTCACCGAAGCCAAAGCTCGGCTCGTTCTCAGAGTAAAACAGATAAAGCAAGTAGCGGTGGAGATGAAAAGATGTCTTGCTGTGAAAGGGCTTTAGAGAACATGGATACGGCGTTGGGTAAGTCGATCTTTATTGTACCTGTGTCAGGACATGATTTCATTTGTTCAGTTACTGGGCATCAACAAGTATTGACCTTTTCAAGGTTGAGGAAAAAATGGCACTTCGAGTTGACATTGCAGTGCATTGTGGGACTGTTTTATGGGACATTTTTCCAAGATGGCGTCCATTTTGTCCCCTAAAACGGTCCCACAATGCACTGCAATGCCAGCTCAACCCAGTTTTTTACTCGATCTAGGAATGGCGTATTTACCATACCTCTCCTTAGATCTCTTCTGAGATTGTGAAACGGTGCATTGTGGGAAACTCTAAACATGCAACGCATACGCGTGTGTTTTGGCGGGAAAATGGTACACTTCCCACCATCCCTAATGACCAAGGTCTTTTCTACGTCCCCGAAGCTCTTTGAAATCATTGCTCGATAATAGGTGTCTGTAGTGACGGATACTTTGCAGAAATAAATTTAAAACATATTTCGTTTTCTTCTTAGTATTAGGGTTAACTCCAATTTCCCCTTTTCCTCTTCAAAACTAATYAACTTCTTAATTTCATTTGGATTTATTAGTCGAGGAGCCACTGCCAAAACATTACCCATCCTTGCATATTTTATTATAAAATCACTGTTACAAATCTAGCGAGCACACAAATAGCACATAGTATACACGCATTATCGACACTAGAGAAAAGAGTTTGCGCATGCGTGCATCTCAACACCTTTTCTAAGAATTTTGAAGAGTTTGAGTGAGAAAATAAATGTTTGTTTTCTCAAAGTATACAAAAAAGTTCGAGAGTATACTTTTGTCAGACCAAGATACTGTATTAACAAACACAATATGAAAGAATTAGCCTTACGTTTCAAGAATGGACACTAAGTTTTGGCATTTTGTGAAGTCCAATTTATCAGGCATGTTTGAAAGTCAAATTTACTTATGTTTTGACTAATTTGCATACTGTTCAGAGCATGCGCAGACGTTTTACACTCCGCATTTTCCGCATTGTTTTGGTACTGGTTTTGGAAATCCTGTTAAACCGGTTTTTGTGTATTTTCGTGCCTCATTTATTTTGCTCTAAACAGGTTTTTTATCGATTACACTCCATAAATRGTAGTGTGCATTGATTTGGTACCGGTTTTGAAAAACCTGTTAAAGCGGTTCAACCAACATGGCRGCTGTTCTATATCTCAATGGATTTCGAGATCACTTGGTTGCACTCCAAGAACATCGTATTCAACACGGGCACTCATATTGTATATATTACAAAGAAATACATGAAAAACTTGCTTGCCGTGCTGTGCACAGTTATTAAGCACACTTGAGGTTCGGATCCGCTACGCGCCGTGCGTCTCCTAACACTTCTCTCGTGTTGTGCCAACCCTCGCATGCTTTATAACTGCACACAGCACGCGCGCGCGTTTTCTATTCTATTATTTCTTTGTTTGTCTAGTTGGTCTTTCCTTTGTATGATTATTTTCTTTGTCATTTTACTTTTTTTTTTTTTCAGTATCTCAAGTACCTTTGGATGATGAAGAGGAAGATAAGGTGGTCTACAGCACAGGAGAGGAGCCTGATAACCAAAGCGTAGAAGAACATAAAAGCGTTATTCTACATCTGATGTCCCAACTGAAACTTGGCATGGATCTAACAAAGGTATGATTGCTAAGATCCAGCTGATCAACCAATCAGAATTGGGAATTCGACATTGTATTATGAATAGCATTTTCCATGATTCTGCCAAGAGAAYCCCTTAAAATAATAATTCTTCATTCCTTAAAATGGTGGAATTCTACTTCATTCAATTGCTTACTATCAATCACGTGACTTTTTGGAGTTGACTGGGGGGCAAACAAACAGTTGACTGGGGGGCAACTAGCGGTAAAGTCAAAACATATCAAAATAAGTCCCCAAACTATTGTATTTGACTATTTTCACGACATCAAACCAGAAAACAAGAGATCAAAACAACCTCCAGGATTCTACAAGCCATCAAAAAAGAGCTGTTACCGGAAGTGACGTCTATTGATAGCAACCTATATGAGAAATCTACATTGTGCTGAGTCCCTGCTCAAAAACAGGCTAAATAAAATGTTTAACCAATAATTCCTTTCGGGGATCGTGGACTTTGCGCGTTATGTATTTTGCTCAGGCCACTTGCTGTTCTATTGAAAATAAGAATCGTTGGAATCGTATCAATATTTATGTCTTTCCGTGCGCAAACGTTAAAAAATGAAATGATACTCTAGAGAATGACACTTGATCTGAAATGGAAAAAAAAAATACGTCCAAGCAAATGACGTCTGTTTAAAGCGTTAGGTTTTGCTAAGAGAGGAAATCAGGAGAACCCGTTGAAAACTCTCAAAAACATACCATGGACTTTGAACAGAGAATAGTCCCTTTCAAAGTTCTCCGCGCCATCTTGAAAGGCAGCCGTGCACTAGCTTGTATCGAAGCAAGACGAACGGTGAGCTTGCAATGATAGTGCTTTTTCTAAAATCTTGAACAATTATTCACATGTCTCTATCATTGCCAGCTCGCCGTTCCACTCGCTTCGATACAAATGCACGCTGCCTTTCAAGATGGCGTAGGGAACTTTGAAAGGGGCTATTCAAATAACGTGTAAGACTGTATGTAAATTCGTCAAGGAGCAAATCACGAAACCCTTGACCCATTTCCTCGAGTCAACACGAGGCTTTTAACTTCAAATGCTAATCTTGTTTATATTTAGTTACATAAACATACAAAACATTTCCTTTTTCTTGAAAAACCCATTATCGAGGGAATTGTTTTTTTAATGTCTTCATGTTTTGCGTGACAAATGTTTGCCCGCGTTTTTTTCCTCTCACGAAACATCATATTTTCGTTGTTTTTGGAAGGATGGAAAGTATTTGTTCGTCCTTTTTAATTTCGTTGCAAACCCTCTGCTTCCAGTAGATAATCTATCCATCATATTATATATCGGTATTGACAAGAAGTTTTTTCTGTAAATTAATCTTATTTCTGTCTGTGTCGGTCGGTCTGACTGTCTGTCTGTCTGTCTGTCTGTCCGTCTGTGTCGGTCTGTCTGTCCGTCTGTCTGTCTGTGTCGGTCTGTCTGTCTGTGTCGGTCTGTCTGTCTGTCCGTCCGTCTGCCTGTCTGTCTGTCTGTGTCGGTCTGTCTGTCTGTAATTTGACTGATTATTTGTATTTTTCTCTCTTTTTAGGTTGTCCTCCCCACATTCATATTAGAGCCGCGGTCTTTACTAGAGATGTATGCAGATTTCTTCGCTCATCCTGATTTATTTATCAGGTAAGCAAATAGCTTTGAATACCTTTTCTTCGTTCATTGAGTGGCATGTAGAATAGGGGCTTTGCACCGTCACGTTGCGGCGCCAAAAACACAGCTTGGGCTGCCTGTGGTTAGATGACAGAACTGTAAAATCCCTTTTTGCCTTCCATCTAACATGGCTGCCGTCACGTGATGGTGCAAAACCTCCACAAAAAGACAAAAGACAAGGCTACTATGTCGAATGACATGTCTAGAGAAAACAAGACCAATTTTTAAATTCAAGTTATCCAACTTGGCTGCTATGACGTTACAAGCACAAGGACAGAAAAGTCGACACTTTATAGACAAGCAAATCATATTGTTTGACATAACGAAGGAAATTTAGACCAAATCCTTTTCTCATGTCAACCAACATGGCATCTATGCGTTACATACGCAAAGACAAAAGACTCCTCCCACCCCTCCCCCATCAAATTTCAGCTGCGCGATTCTATTTACCAAAGTATTTTTGTCTAATAATCTCGATGCGTTGACTTGTAGTATACCTGACGGTGTCACAGCAGAAGACAGGATGTTGGCAGTTTTAAAATTCTTTTTGACTTCATTCCATGTGGGAAGAAAGGTATATTTACGATACTTTCAATTACAACTGAGCTCCCCATTAAATACAGCTATTTGAAAAAAGGTTGGTGAAGGGTTAGTTGCGTCTTCCATGTTGCATTTTGCTACTAAGCTTGAAATGTTTTGTATTCATATGTAAATGATGTCAGCACAGAACATATGCCGGAAAAACGTGCATACAAACGTTAGGTGAATTCCATATCGCTGTGGCCTTTCGCTTATTGAATTCACATCTCACATAGTGTATTTCTAATTTGGTATACTACGTGCAACACAACTTTCACCAATCATATTTGAAGTAGTTGTATATAACCTGTTTCAACAGACCGTTTTCTTAAGGTTGCGTGCGCACCAACTCGACGGGCCGCAAAACTGAAAAACGCAAATTCAGTAAAATTGAGAAGAAAGTTTTATATTTAAAGAGGAGAATAATCAATTTTATGAATTCTTATCGAAAACAAATTCTTAGAAATGTATGATATTTCTCATTATAAAGCTCCTGTTTGGTATCGTGGCCCGTCAAGTTCCTTAAATTTGAATGCGCACGTAAACCTTGAGAAAACAGTCAATTGGTTGAATGGTGTATTTCAATGTTTCAATTGTTGATGACTGCCCCACCCCCATCTCCCTCCGTCCTGATATAACCTCTTTTTCTACAAACGCTTTGATCTAAATCCCTACCTTTGGTCAAAACAATGAAATATAATAATATAAAAAGATTCCCACCCTAGAGGAGGAAAGTCTTTTGTTTTCAAACGTTGAAAGTTATCAGTACTCACCCTGAACAAGCTCTGAGCAAATTCAGGGCACGGTCCATTCTCCCAACCCTTCCTAACCTACAGTAAATGGGTGACATAAAAGAACCTGTTGAATTATTCGTGTAGGAGTAGGGGATTGTCTCCCGGTTCAACAGCCTATCCCAATTTGAAGGCATAATACTAATCTACTAACATTTCACAGTCATGATTGTAAGCTGCACGGCTGCCATGAGTGCCTAAATACGCAGCCCGTAAAGTCCTCCACTGATAA